GCGAAGACATCTTTCCAGGGTCTGTGAGGATATGCAATGAGATGCCTGACTTGATGCATGATGAATCAGCATTAGCTGTTTCTCTCTTGTTAAAATAGTGATTATGAAAGTGACTGGTGAGGAAGGGGTATGTGTGTGTCAGTTCCTCTAGCAGGCTCTCAGTTTCACCAGGTCTTATTTACCCTGACATCTGTCTCGCCACCACCTCTCCATCTCTCCTAGCCTGTATCTCCAGCTGTTCTGCCCTTGTGTCTTACAGCTTCCTTTTTTCTTTCATCATACTTATGTTCCTCATTTCCCTTGTGCCAGAATCTGTCACCTGTAGTTTCACCTTTGTACTTCCTCAGAGTTGCAGATATGTGACCATAGTGCACCCCTTGCAAATGGAATTCTGTATGTACTTGCAGATGAAACTAGTCTGAATGAACAAACTAGAAAAAGGTGAATGTAAAGTTAGATAATGCTTGTCTAGCCACACTGGCATCTAGTTGCCAATGTTCCTGGATTGTCTGGGAGATTTTAGTGGGCTGCTAAAAATCCAGCAGTGCAGCAGGACTAAGGTAGGATCCCTACTTGCCCTGGTTCCGCGCAGTTGCCAAAAGTGACCAGCATGTCCCTCTGGTTCCTAGGCACAGGAGCAGCCAAGGAGGTTTCTGTGTGCGGACCTTGCCCGGAGCACTGACTCTGCAGCTCCTGTTGTCTGGAAACAGAGCCACCTGGCAGCCCCCTGAGGCTAGGAGCCAGACATGCCAACTGCTTCTGGGAGCCACCCAAAGAAGGCACCACCTGAGTAGAGCCAACACCCCTCACCCCTTCTGCATCTCAATCCCCTGCCCCAGCCCGCAGCCCTTTCCTGCACCCAAACTTCCTATCAGAATCCACACCCACTGCTGTACTGCAATCTCCTGTCCCAGCCTGGAGCTTCCTCCTGCTCTCTGAACACCTTGGCCCTGCCCCCAACCCAGTGCCTACACCTCCTCCTGCATCCCTTGTCCCATGCTCAGCCCTGAGCTACTTCCCACATGCTAAACCCCTTGGCCTCACACCACAGCCCAGAACCTGTACCACAACCCTTGTCCCAGTCCAGGCAAAGCAACTAAGGGTATGGAGGGGCTGAATGATTGGAGGGTGGGGCCTCGAAGAAGGGGAGGGCTTTGGGGAAAGGTTGGGGCAAGAGTGTAAGGGTTTGTATGGTTAGATAGTTGGCAACCATAATTAGCTTTGCTCCAGCCAGTGTTAAAAACTGCAGTGTTGCTATTGCACTATGGGTGAAGCCATAGGCTAGCCACATGAGTACTGGTCCACCTGACTCCCTGGGTGTATAAACTGCTATTTTTATCATATTAGCTGGAGCAGAGCAAGTGCATATGTGTCCAGCAGGGCTGGCTTGCTTCCAGCTGGCATACATACATACCCGAAGGGGTCAACACATATGGGACATTGGCATGATGGATTTCTAATATTGTAAAAATGTCACTTTGTCCTTTGATAGACTTCCCTTGTTATAGCTCCAGCTGTAAAGCTGGCTACAATAATTAGAATCCAAGGAGAAAACCTTGTTTTTCTCCTCATTAATAATATGTTTTTGTTAATAACAGGACAATGTGCCTCTGTATATCAGTTTGCTTGGCATCATTTACTATTCACTACTTAACTGTGTAAGTCAACATTTCATTGTAAACCTGTACTTACTTTCATACAACCATTCCATGTTAATCAGAAGCTGTAGCTAGTAGTCCTGCTCAGACTTGTAATGACTGAATGTGTTACTATATGAAGTTACTTAGTCTATATGAAATGTGTTTGGCCATTTCAGTTCAGTTCCTACTGGACAGATGTCTACATGACAAAAAATCCCATTGCTGTGGTTACTAATACGTATTCTCAGGAGAGAGACCAAGTGTAGCCCTTGTGACCAAGTTACTACCACCACCACCACACCCCAAACTCAGAGAGATTATCTTTGCACAGTAGGAATGAAACATTTTACAGAGACACCTTGCACTGCAGCTGCCATGATATACCTCTTGTGTTGAAAGAGCATGCAAGTCTCCATGGCTATCAATCCAGTATCTCTTATGAACTGTGATGTACTTTTATTACCAAAATAAACTCTTAATTGAGGACCGGTTAGTGCTGTTGTGTGAATTTTCTTTCCATCGCAGAGCTGTACCTACATGTTCTACTAGATGTCCAGAGCCAGATAAGACTGCAGGAAGAAACCTGTGGGAACTGCCCTGTTCCTTTCCCATAAATTAACTGCTTGGCAAATGTAGTTTAAAAATAACTGAAACAGGAGAATCAGGACATCTCATCCCATGGAGGTGAGTATGTCAACAGTCAACTGTTGTCAGAAATCTGTCTACAAAGGGAAGTGCTGATTTGCAGAAATATAAGATGTTGGGAGAGGAGTGAGAGTGGATGTTTCTGTACTTCCAATGAGACAGTTCATCTTCCTACAGGAGAACCATTCATTGATAAACAACAAATGGGAACAAAAGTTTGCCAGGTCCCTTTTATCTCCTCCTTCTGCTGCTGCTGTTGTCACTTCTGCTAACAGTAGGAAATTCACACTCCCCCTGATTTACATTCAGCTTCTTCCTCTTACTGGGAAACAGCACCACATATTTCATAGCTGAACAGCTCCCATGGTGTTATCTCATATTTCAAATGTGTGCTAAGAAACCACTTTAGGGGCTTTGAGTACATGAAGCAATTTGTTGCATTGCCTCCGCTTGGTGAATGTCCAGGAAAGCTCATTATACCATCTACATGTTTTGTTAGTCTTTAAAGTGCTACCAGACTATTTGCTGTTTTTTAAATGTTTCCTGTTACAGACTTACTCAGCTACCCCTCTGAAGCTTTTGAATACAGCAGTTCTGTTTCTCAAAGCAGCTTAAGAAGGAGCCAGTGCTGCCTGGACCATTCTGGGGTTCCTGAAGTAGCTGACCCATAGATGTGTTTGGACGAATCTTCTCTTAAAATCAGCACAACAAATACAGAGACTATAATGTAGACCCAACCACTGCCATTCTAATCACTGTCTCATCTCATTCTGAGACTTAACTATACTATACTCAATGGACAGAGCTGGGGAGAATGCAGTGGTGGGATGTTTTAAGAAAAATGCAGGTAGAGATGGCCAAACTATCATATGTTGTTCCTGAGAGCAAAGGCTTGTGGGTACTTTCCAAACGTGGAAATGTCCATGGATTTCACTATCACTGTAGTAGCTCCATCCCTTCCAATGATGATATATAAGTTGACAGAAGAATTCTTCAGTTGACTTAACTGCCTATACTGTGGGGGTTAGGTCAACCTAACTACATGGTATAGGTGACAGTTTTTGCAGTCCTGAGTGATATCACTTGGTTTACTTAAGTTATGGGTGTAAGCAAAGTCTTAGTAGCACTCTGACTTCTAGCCTACCCTTTTATTGGTTCAACTCCCACATCAGGACTTAACCCCCATCTCCAAGATCAATGGTGCAATATTTGTCTGCATTGTTTTTTCCCCCTCACAATTTCCCATTATTCCTCTTGGTATAACAATGGGAATGCTATTGCTGAAGGTGCCAGCATTTTTGCCACTAAATCTTCTCCCCTCTGTCTTTCTAGTTGTCTCTCTCATAAAAAAAAAAGGAGCTCTTCAGAGCAGGGATTGTGCCACCTTCTCTGGTTAGCACATTGTGTGCACCCCAAGAAAGTAGCAGAAAAATGCAAAACTAGGAGACCAGAATGGAAAGCCCTGTGCACATCCACGTAGATATGAAAATGGTTCATTCTTTGGCCAGAATGTAGCAACAGTTTCACCTGTGTTAGAAGAGTAGGAATGGGTTGGTTCTAAGAACTTAAAGTTACCCAATAAGAAACGTGGCATGCTCACTCTCTTTCATTTGTTTTCTGTGCTGCTCTGCAGTATTGTCCAAGGTTGCAGTTCCTATTCCTCTGGGATTCTTTGTCAATAATCACTGATTCTCCATACTGGGACTATTGGCACTGGCCTTAGAAGCACATTAGCAGTTTCTTTTGAAGAAGAAAAAAACAGTTTTGAACAAATGAGCAGGGCCCCTCTTTTTGTTCTGTGTTTGTGTAGCACCTAGCTCAATCGAATTCAGTTCCACAACTGGGGCTCTTAGGGACTATAGTATTGCACACAAATAATAAGCAACAACAGCAGCAAAAATAATTAGAGATTGATAATGCACAATAGAGACTTTTGCCTGGCTAGAATCCAGCGCAGATTGATAGTTAGTGCCTGAAAGTCATTGTCATTTGATAGCTCCTCAGTATGCTTTCTTAGGGCAGGGATACACCACAAACTTACATCGATATAACTACATTCCCTCAGGGGGATGACACACTTACACCAGTCTAGACCCGACCCCCCGCCCCAGTGTAGACAGCACGATGTCAATGGGAGAGTTTCTCCCGTTGACATAACTACTGCCTCTCTCTGCCATGGAGGAGGATTAACTACACTAACGGGAGAAACTCTCCTCTCAGTGTAGGAGTGTGTTCACTAAAGCGCTACAGTGGTGTGAAAACGAGCCCTAACATGAGCTTGTTGGTCTCCAGTTCCTAATGAACAGGTGCCCACATCACAAAGCCCCACTGCATTTTGTGCTAATAAGCATTCCCTTGGAGGAAAACAAACATTTGAATGGGTGTGGAGCATGAAATTCCCTCATACCCCTGCAGAACAGGTTAAAGGCACCTTGGGAGGGCAGTGTGGGAAACTTCCAGTGCCACTGCTTTTGCTGTACCTGTTCTGGGCATAGAGGACTTCACACTGCAGATCTGTTGGGCCACCACCTTTCACCAACACTAATGTCACTGACTGAACCTGTAAGAGAAAGGAAGAAGAAAATATAGAGGGTAAGGAGGCTGGTGGATTGAGTTTTCTCAGACGCCCATGAAGCAGCATCAGGTTACAAGGACAGGAGGTGGGACTATGCAAATCAGGCTTTTTTTAAACCATTACAGGTGTAGAACTCCAAGTTAAGCAACAGTAGTTTAGAGTGAGAGAAGGTGAGATCCACAGGGCAGTGCTCAGCCCTCACTGCAGCTGCTGCCTTGCCAGCTCCAAGATATTCCAAGGGATGTAGTGCCAGAGGCAAAGGAGCTGCCATCTTCTCTGTGCTGTAGTGGCTGGGCCTGCTGCTTTTTTTAGGGTTTTTTTTCTGGTTTGGTTTTGTACCTTCCCTTCTCCCTCCTCATTCACCAAACTTTGAAAAAAAGGGGGAACAGGGCTGTTTCCCTTTTTTCCTCTTCAAGCTATGCCCCCCCAGGAGCTTCTGGATTATTCACCCACCCTTCGAAGAAGCAGTACCCCAAGGGGCAGTGGCCCACAGCTGGGCATTAAATGTGTCTTGGTCGGTGATGGAGCCGTGGGCAAGACCAGCCTGATCATTAGCTACACAACAAACGGATACCCCGATGAGTACGAGCCCACTGCCCTGGACACCTTCTCAGGTAAGGGGGAATGGAAGTTAAGTGCCAGTTGGGAGATCCTGCCTGACAGCAGCCTGCTAGTGCCTCTGGGGTTGACCTCCTTCCTTCCTCTTTCTCACTGTCACAATGGTCTTGTCTATAGTAGGATATTTCAGACACATCTTTCCAAAGGGTGTAACTCCACCACTCCAGTGGGAATCCTAGTAGAGAGGGGCCACCAGCTACGATCAACAGATCAACATTTTAAACACCGTGCCGGAAGCCAGTGGAATCAATAGGGTGCTTAAAACGCCAGCAGCAGCCATCCATTCCCACAGTTAACTATTGCAGGACCCGAACCATTTTTTTTTATCTTCTATGATGTAGACAAGGTATAAACTTTACATAGGAGGCTGTAAAGGGAAACCGGTTTTTCCTCTCACACAGGATGCGGGAAGCAGCTCTCATTCTTGGCTACAACTTGTGCAAAACTGTAGAAAGGAAGTTTATTCTGCTTGAGTCTGTTCCTTCAGGCCTGAAATGCTTAGCTAAGAAACTTATCTAGGGGTTCATTGCCTTTCCTGCATCTCTCCTTAGGAAAAAAGGAGGAGGGGCAAGCTGTGAGGAACTCTCCAGGGTGTTGTTATTAATGAAAATATCACCTATTATCCATAACTGTGCTGGGTGAAATCCTGACCTCATTGAAGTTCAGTGGCAAAACTCCTATTGACTTCAATAAGGTCAGGATTTCATCCTTGATCTTTCTGTGGTAAGGTTTTTTGTTTTTTTTGCTTTTTTTTAACTGACTTCCATCACTGTAATATCTGAGTGCTTTGGGATATATAATTAGACAAGCCCCTGGCCCAAAGATTGTAACCTGCTCAGGATAGAGATCCGAGAAAAGGGACAGCTTTGTGTGGCTGTCAGGGTATGACTACACACACAGCCCATGATGACAGACAGCGTCAGTACTTGCGTAGACTCCGCTCATTACTGTGTTAAAAGCAGATGTGTAGGCAATAGGCTCTGCCTCAGAGAGGTGGTGGTGGGCTTCAGAATCTTTCCAGCCCCAATATCTACACCGCTGTTTTTAACATGGTATCATAAAATCTGCAAACCTGAAACTCTGGACCTGAGCTTTGAGACTTATTGTATAGATCAGTGGCTCTCAACCTTTCCAGACTGCTCTACCCCTATCAGGAGTCTGATTTGTCTTGCACACCTTGTTTCACTTCTCTTAAAAACTTCATGCTTACAAAATCTGACCTAAAACCACAAAAGTGTCACAGCACACTATTTCTGAAAAAGTGCTGAAAAATTCATTTTTACCATATCCTTATAAAATAAATCATGTGGAATATAACTATTTTACTCACATTATAAATGAGTCATTGTGTGAAATTTTAGTTTGCACTGCCTTCACTGTGCTTTTTATGAAACCTGTTGTAAAACTAGACCAACATTGAAATGAGTTGAAATACTCCTTCATGAGCTGAAACAAAAAACAGGACAGAGAGAGAGAGTGTGTGTGTGTGTGTGTGTGTGTGTGTGTCTTCCTCCCCTCCCGCCACCCATGTTCATGCACCACTCATACCTTCACTTATGTTCTTGCTGTGCTTGTGTCACTGGTTAGGACTGGGATTCAGGGAGAGAGGTGGCCTGTTCCTAAGTTTTATTGAAGTAGTTTTGTTCCTTATGGTGACAGATACAGGGAGAGAAAAACATCTGTGAGTAACGCTTTGGAATTTTATTGTTCTGGTTGTGTAGCTGGTTAGGGCAGAGATACAGGGCAAAAGACAGCTGTGTGGCTGCTCTGATTTCTCTGGCATGGTTCTGGGAAAAGGACAAGGAGACTGGAACTAGGTCTTTATCCCCCAGTGAAAAAATAGCATAATTAACATAATTGAAGAGTACATAAGTAAACACTGTCTGCTAAAAGTTTGCTTTGCATATTAAAAGATATGGATGTTTGCTGTCTGGAGATAGCTCTGCTGATCTCATCCTGACTCCTGGAGAAGCAGGAGGGTAAATAACACTCTGGTGATATGTTAATACCCCACTTAACTCTTGCCTTCTCTTGGACTTTGAGCTGTACCTTTGCTATTGCTGTAGCTTCACACATTCGGCTCTCCAGCTACTTGCCCAGCCTCTCTGTGGGTATGTCTATACCAGTGTTTCTCAACAAGTGGTACAAGTAGCCTTAGGGGTACTTGAGAAGTCTGGGGGGTATGTCAGCACAACTGAAATTTGGAGAAAACTGAATTTTTGTTTAAAGTTTTACAGTGCTTTATTATTTTTGTACTTTTTACACCCAAAAATTCAATTGTCCCTAGCTTAAATGCGAGATAGCATTTGTTCAGACTGGACATGCTTTCAAAAAAGCAGATTGTTTTTTCAATGCTCTTTGGCAGTGTGGACATGTGACATAGCTACATTGATCAGGGTATGGATTTTACACACACACACACATGGATGTAACAATATTAGCCTACCTTTCAATGCAGACCAGGCCAAAGTGACTTAGGAGCCCCAATTTCAAAAGCAACCAGTTACCTCCCCCTTCCCACCCCCCCGCCTCCTCCTTCTGTTCTGCAATGTGATTTGTCCTTTTCATATTTGTTCTTTTTTTTAATTGTATCCTTTGGTATATATGGTTGTGACTACTTTCTTCCACTATTTGATCTGAGGAAGTGGGTCTGGCCCACGAAAGCTCATCATCTAATAAACCATCTTGTTAGTCTTTAAAGTGCTACATTGTCCTGCATTTTGCTTCAACTACCCCAGACTAACACGGCTACATTTCTATCATTACTCAGGAGCCTAAGCCTGATTGAGAGGCAGTGGGAGTTAGTTCCTTATTGCCATAGTCCCTTTGAATATGGGATTTAGGTACTTTTGCAGATGTTACTCAAGACCTATTAGAAAAGGAAGGAAACTTCCCTCAGCCGGTAATACAGGCTATGTCTAGACTTCAGGCTTCTTTCAGAAGAAGCTTTTCTAGAAGAGATCTTCCAAAAAAACTTCTGATCCCTGCTGTAGATGCAGGTATGTCAACAGAAGAATGCCTCCATTGTTTGTGAGAGGTGGTGTGCTACACCAGTGTAAAACCCTCTGTGTAGCCCTGTCTGTTCTATTTAGCTATGCTAGTGTACTGGCTCTGTTATTTAGATGTACCCTAAGGCATAGTGGTGTGGGAACAATTTTTGGAGTGAGGATACAGCTGTCCCTCCTACACACAAACTTATCTCAGTCCATGCCCCTCACTGCCCTTTAGAGATGGGGCTGGCAGCAGGCACCTCACATGTGGAACCAGAGGCTACGACTCTGGGTCTAATGGTGGGGAGGGACCCTGCATGTGGAGCTTGACAGCAGGGCCAGCAGCTGAGTGGGACCCAGAGCTGGTGGCCAATACCATTTGTGTGGGAACAGCAGCCAAGCAAGACCTGGGGCTGGAAGTGGAGACACCAGCAGGGGTACAGCAGGGTTGGTGGCAAGAACCCTGCAGGCAGTGGCATGAGGCTGGTAGCTGGGAACCTGGGCAGCAGGGGCATGTGGCTGGAGTGCCCAAAACTTAAGAGGTGCCACAGCACCCTACCGTACCCCAACTTCCTGCACCTATGCTTAGACACTGTGGAAAATTTCACCCCCTTCTCTGTGTTACTTGCTTTTTCATCAGTGATGAAAGCCTTAGTGGAGACAGGACTCTGACAAGTTTAATGGTGACCTACAAAGGATTTCTTTTTTAAAAATTGGGCTTGTGTTGTGGGGGAGGTATTTTTGTTTGTTTGTTTGGTTGGTTTTTGAGGGGGGGTGTTTTGTTTTTGCTACTTTATAATGGCTAAATAAGGCTTGAAAAGTTTTTTTTAAAGAACAATTCTGCTTGTTTTTATCTTTAGAAATATAAAAAATGTATACTGTAAATTCTCCCCCTTAACTAAGGGGAGGGGATGTTGACTTCTCTCTCCAAATACTCATTGGCATTGGCAGTGAATAATTATTAACAAAACATAAAGATTTTAAGGAGTCTGACTAAAAATCCATTCTCCTCTCAACAGCTGAGCTTCAAACTATGTCTCTCCTAGATGCCAGCATTTCACTAGTTCTCCAGTCACCACTGAGTCCTGTCTAGACTGGAAGATTCTAACTTCTAATGGACAAAACAAGCTGAAACAAAACCTTTAACAAATATTTCAGGTCTCTTTTATACATTATAAGAAACACAAAAGGGCACTAGACCAATTATGATTCCTTTGCAGGTCAGTTCGAAATGTAATATGGGCTCAAGTGGGATGCAGATCTGGGTTTCACATATCTTGGAAGTCTGAGAGATAGGCTCAGGCCTGTTGTTTTTGTTGCTGGTTTTTTTTGTTTGTTTGTTTGGATGCCCCTCTAGTTCAGTAACCATTGTGAAGAGATATGGGAGAACTGCTGGTCTGCACTGAGCCCTAGCTCTCCCCAGAGAGCTACTGGAAAGGAAAAAACCGAGAAGAAAGATTCTGCCGTTCCAGGGTTCAGGGGAAATTTAGGTACATCTCTACACTATGTAGCTTTTAATGAGAAGGCTGTGTTGACACAGCCCTGTCAAAAAAAAGTCTGTGTGTGAATGCTTTTTGTTGGCACTTTAGCCCACAAAATACAGAAATTCTACCCTTTAGGATGGGCTTTCACTTAGTTGACAGGAGAGCTCTCCTGCTGACAAAGCAAAATCAACATTCACATTTGCATGTGTGGGGGCAAAACTTTGTCATTCACTGGAGTGGAGGAGCAGCTAAGCACCCCTGAACAACAAAAGTTTTGTCAGTCAAGTGCAAATGTAGTCATAGCCTTAGAAAATGGTCTGAGGCGCCATCGTTCCTTTAGTTTCTGAGAAAATACCATCTTGGGTAACTGTCTGTCTCATTCTGGTCTCTATGCTCCTCGTTGAGAAGAGGGGCAGGAGGGATTGATTATCTTCATTCAGAATGATTATATGTATTATTATTGGCAAACTACAGCCAATGAGAGCTGAGAGGCTCTGTGCCTATGGATGCTTAAATAAAGAAAGCATCTTGCAGCCCACCAGTGGCTTACCCGGGCAGGCCTGTGACTCAACTTTGAAAACCCCTGGTAAATTCACTTCTCTAAATTGTGGTAAACGGGTTAATGAAAGAATTCTTTAATCAACCCAGCTGTGTCTACCCCAGGGATTAGGATGGTGTAACTATGATACTTGGAAGTTATTCACCCCCTGAGCAGTATAGCTAGGTTGATCTGCATTTGAAGCAGAAACCAGGGCTCAAATTCCCAGTAGTCCTTTTGATCTGAAACAGAACCCTTCCTCCCCTGAGGCTTAGATGTGGTAACCACCCAACTTAACTGTTTTCCAGTCACAAGGAAGCAATGGCTTTCACATATGCTGGCAGGAGAGGCAGTGCATTCTGTGTGCCTCCCTTCCTCCCTCTTTCTTTGTGTGTGGGTGTTTTAATTTCCATTCATTCTCACTGGCTCTCTTTCACAGTTTTGTGTCAGTAAGCAGAATCATTCTTCTCCCCAAGGGTTTTTATGACCCCACTGACACCGAGGTCAGTTGTTTCTGCCACTTCACTCACCAGCTAATAACTAAGAAGACAAGATTCAGTTTGCTTCTTTAAAATAACAAAGCCCCCTCCAGAGCATCCCCACCAGAGGGAATGACACATCAGAAATATACTAGTTGGTGTCAAGTGCTCACCATTGTCACCTTAGTACAGGATGTCTCCCTTCCTTCAGCAGACCAGTGCTATTTTCACATTCTGTCAAGAATGTAATGCAATTCCCAGTCCTACCTTTTCCTCCAGCCATTCTCCCTGGAATCTGAAATACTCAGAGGTCTAACAACTTCATTTTGAATTTCCATACCTGGGAACAGGTCCTGACTCTGTGATAGGGGGGACTGATATCACCATGTTAAAGGTTTCTGCAATTATGGATTAATATACACATATATAATTCACCACTGTTGGTGGAAATGGTGGCAACTGTAGAGTAGGCAACAAAGTAGTAAAAACTCCCAGCCCTGCTGGAGTTTGCTAGTAGAGGCAAGGCCTCTGAGTACAGATTAGCCCTAAAGGAACCATCTAGAGGAACTAAATCACATTCCTTTTCCTTTAAGCACCTTTGCTTTAAGATAGTATTTATGTTCCACAGCTGGAGCAATACTAAGAGAACATCTCTGAGAAAGTTTTTGTAACTGGTTGAGGAGGTGGGGACATGGCCAGCCCAAGAAGGGTAATCTGAGGGTTTGTCTACACTAGCCAACTTGGGCTTGCAGGACTCAGGCTTTGGAGCTGTTTAATTGTAGTGTAAATGTTTGGGTTCAGGCTGGAGCCCAGATTCTAGGGTTTCGTGGCACAGGACGGTCTGAGAGCTTGGACTGAAGCCTGACAGAAAGTCTACACCACAATTAAACAGGACCACAGCCCAGGCCCCAAGCCAGCTGGCACCATCCATCCATACCCCAGCTGGCCACAGAGTAAAAAAAAAAACTCAGATTCAGTCCCTGAAGTTTCAGATTCTATATATCCCTAATGGATCTTTTGAGGATGTGGGAGAAGATTGTCAAATTATTGCTAGGGCATTGTTTGACTAAAAGACCAGACCTACCAAAGGTCTTTGTGTAGTAATGTCGTGGAAAGACTCAGATAGTCTGGTCCAGAATATGATCTGAGGAAGTGGGTCTGGCCCACGAAAGCTCATCACCTATTAACCCATCTTGTTAGTCTTTAAAGTGCTGCATAGTTTTTCCTTTTGAAATAACCAAAGAGACTCTTCCCAGGAAAGCCTGTGTAGGTTTCCCAAAAGAAACTGGGTTTGGGGTGTTTTGGTAATGACTGCGTAGATAGCCAGAAAGGGTGGACATGTGCAATAAAACAGAGAGTCACTTGAACACTGAGTCAGGGCATTAATTCAAAGAGCTCCCCAAAGACACAAAACAGAGTTGGAGAGAAGAACATGTGTGCATCTGTCTGCCTGTGAGGCAGCAAGTCTGTACTCATCCTCTCTCTCTCTGTGTTGCAGTGCAGGTTCTGGTGGATGGAGCCCCTGTTCGGATCCAGCTCTGGGACACAGCAGGACAGGTGAGACCAGTCAAAGGAGAATCAGCCATTTTGGTTCTGACTAGTCAGTGGGACAGATGCTATTGGCAGGGTTTGTGAGGTGGGCAGTGTACAGCTAGGAAAGACACATACACTAATGCAGGGCTACTCAACTTTGGAAGCCCCGGGGGCCACAATGATACTCACAGCACATGCCAAGGGCCACAGCTTAAGTGTGGTTGCATATACAGTACATGCAAATATATGCAAATAGCTTATTTCACACTGATGGGCATGAATACAAAGATTAAAGCAAAACTACACAACACACAGGCCCCATTTAAGTCCATTCTGCTGATATTAATAAAATGCAATATTTACCCGATTTCCACTCATATGACAGCACTTTTAATGATCAATGACAGTCCAGGAATTTAACTACTAAAATGCATATCAACAGAAGACCATTATATTGGCTCACTGTTGTGGAGTATTTTCCCAGTGGGGCCATGTTCAAAGGATCCCACCTGCGGGCCACATGTTGAGCCCCATGTAAACCCAAACTGCACCACGGGCCACAGACAAATGGGCCCTGGGCTGCATGTTGAGTAGCTCTGCACTAATGTATGAATTAATGACACTAATGAAACAGAATGTTTCAAGGATTCTTCTCCCTGTAACTTAGCCCTCCAGAATGATGTGGAAGGAGCATGAAAGGGACTTGGCATCCTGTCTTTGAGATGCTGGTAACATATTCATTGTGTGAAGGAGTCAATCCACTATCACTCTGGTTGGCAGTCCAATGATCTTCTCTTTTTTTTTTTCCCCCTGCAGGAGGATTTTGATTCCCTCAGGTCACTCTGTTACCATGACACTGATGTCTTCCTTGTCTGCTTCAGTGTGGTGAACCCCAGCTCCTTCCAAAACATTACTGAGAAATGGATCCCTGAGATACGGACTCACAACCCCCAAGCACCAGTGCTCCTGGTGGGGACGCAAGCTGACCTGCGGGATGATGTCAATGTACTCATCAACCTGGACCGTTACCATGGGAGGCCTGTGCCCAAGCTTCAAGCTGAAGGCCTGGCAGAGAAAATCCGGGCTCAGACCTACCTGGAGTGCTCAGCTCTGACTCAAAAGAACCTGAAAGAAGTTTTTGACACAGCCATTGTCAGTGCAGTGGAGCACAAAGCCCGGCAGGAAAAGAAGATGACAGCGAAAGGGATCAAAACCCTCTCCAAGTGTCGTTGGAAAAAATTCTTTTGCTTTGTCTGAAGCTGGCTTGGAAAAACACCTTATGCCAGTGTTGACTGTGGAGAGCCATGTGACTGCACCAATGGCTCCAGCAAGGAAGGTGCTGTGAGCTGTTGAGCATCAGAGACTTGGCTCTTGCTGGGTTATAGTCACAGGTTGGGAGAAATGAAATGGACTTCCATTGCATCGCGTTATCAAATGGTCCCTTTAGCTTTAAGCATCTGATGGACATGTCTGTGATGTCCCAGATTGATAGGAGCCTTTATTACACTCAGACTTGGGCCTAAAGAACAAGCATGTTCGTTGTGTCAGCTATGCCCGGTATGACCAGTTTCATTTGTGAAAGCCAACAAAATCTTCCAAAATCCTGTCCCAGCATAATCTAACTCTTAGACCTTGAGATGGATTCTTGAGAGCTGGCTCTATTCTGGCCATTCTAAAGTCTTGGTCGAGAAGAGGGAAGGGGTCTTTACAGGCGATACAACCAAGAGGCTTGGTAGGGGCTGCTCTGTTGAAACAAGTAGGACTTAAGAGGCTTCTCCTCACATTCTGATCACTAATGGGGATCGTGTCATCAAGATGTGATAGAGCCATGCTCTTACATTTGTAAAGATAGTGTGCCATGTGCTGATAATATCCTTGGGAAAGGGCTTTCCTATGAGGCATATCCTGCAAAGAGACCAGTGGCTATCTGAGGGAAAGCACATTGCAAGCTGCAGTCATCCTGAAAGCAAAACATTTCCTAAAGAGGGCTCTATGGTACAATGAGTTACCATGCTACAGCCACATGCTCCAAAGTGATCACTCCTTTTGGGTGCCCATCTGGAAATGCCTGATGTTCAGAGATGCTGAGGAGTGGGACTGCTGGGCCTCAGCACCTCTGGACAGCAGGCACAAAGACAGTGCCTGATGAGGGGTTTATAATGAAACAGGGGAGTGCAGTGGTGTTGAGGGAGAGAAGGAAAAGCATGTAATGGAAGGAAAAGTGAGATGTGAAGTGAAGCTGAGAAGGAAGGATATAGGGGAAGGAGAGGATAGAAGGAAAGGAGGAAGGATATAAGGGAAGAAGAGAGAGGAAGGAAAGGCAGAAGGATATAAAGGAAGGAGAGGAAGTAGAGTAAGGAAGGAAAAGGGAAGGGAAAGAATAAAAGAGGAGCAAGAGAAAGGGGAGGGGAAAAAGTTATTCCATTATCATACCTGTAGGATTTTGCTTACAATGAAAACTTCAGTGAACTCCCTTTTTAAAATGGTTTTCTTCAGTTTCAAAATTCAGGAAAAAATAGTGTGTGGGGGGGGGAGACAGGAAAACCATCTATTTAGATGATGTCTGGCAGAACAGGAGAGAACCCCTTATACTGCTCAAACCTTGAGGTTTCAGAGTAAGAATTGAGGGTTCCCAGGCTCCTCCTTTCTGTTCTCAGGAGTTAGAGTATGAGCCACTGAGGTGAGAAGCAAAGGGAACTCTTAAAAGGTCTGCTCTATGACCTCCCAGCAAAGGACCCCCCTTTGTGCGTGAGTCTCTATGGCCCGGAGAGCGGGGCGAGTTTCCCAGTGCTGTTACTAATCCTTCTTGTTGCTCCATTTCTAAAAAAAATTATTACCCCAGAGACATTTCAATCTAGTTTGCAGGCTAGAGAACACCACAGGCCTGTCATGCAACACTTTGGAGCGTCTGGGGGTACTCTGCACCTGGCACTCAAATGTCCCTTTGGTCACTCTCTCTCTCTGGAATAATGGCAGGCCAGGGATTGTTTACTCTCACATATACTTCTTGCCTAGGCTGACTGTAAAAACCACAGCATTTCACACAGGTGGCTAAAATGTGATCCATAGACTCTAGTCCAAATGCCACTCAGATGACAGTCACCATCATCTTTAACACAGAGGTACAGTCCTCTGAGAGTAGAGGCCCAAGCATGCATGCAGCCAGATCACTTGAATTAAGCTGGAGCATTGCATATGGAGACCAGTAGTCTCCACTGGCTGCATCCTATATTAAAGCTGACCACGACTGCAATTGTTTCTTTTTGTGAAACTGGGTGTGGCCCTTCTGAAATGTCACTGAGTTCAGCTGGATCCAGTCATGCAGGGCTAACCTGTGGAGAACAGGGATCAGTAATTAGAAGTGAAGAGATGTCCTGAGTTATTTTGTCATTATATCATGATGGGCAGGGCACTGTCAGTCAAAATCACTTTCAGTCATAAATATAGTATGCCATGTCTTTCCTCGCTGTGTAGGACAGCCAGTCTGTGTAACTAGTTCAGTTTGTAGGCTGGGACTTTGTGCATTTCTATAATGTAAGAACATGCTCTGAAACTGGGTCGATAAGGAGAATGCACCCTGAGCCTGAAGAGACAATCCAAGGTGAAGGTACCTGCAGGAGCTCATTGGGAGTGCTGGACTACGCTGGTTCCCCAGTGCAGAGTGAGTGCTGCGGGGAGAGCAAGCGCGGACCATAAGTAGCTCTGTACGGACAATGGGATTGCTTTGTCCCAGTAAGGAAGCTGCATTTAGAGCTGCTTTCATTCACTGTTTACCATGTCTAATGTTTGTTGAAATAAAATGGTCTTATTTGAGAGTGAATGAAGTCTGTGTTCATAATTTCACTGGTGGCAAGAAGCCTGAGGCTTTCTGTGGGAAATGAGGTTGTTCTACTGGACAGATGCTTGCAGAACGGAGCTATGTCTCCTTGTCACAGGGTGTCCACTCCACACAGGACTGGAAGGCGTTATGATGGCTAAGTAGACATATTAACTCCAGTGGCTGCACCTGGTGAAAGAGCCAGGGAACAGGGAATTGACTGCACATAGATTCAGCTGGACAGGATTAAATGGGGCCTATAAAGTCAGGAAGCTGGCAACAGAAAAGCTACAACTGGTAAAAGATAGTCACTTGCTGGGGTGAAGGAAGAGTGGGGGTCGGAACTGGTATTCCCAGAGAAAAGGGGAGGAAACAGCCCAGGAAAGGAACAGGGAGTGCTGGGAAGGTGAAGCTCAAAACTTCTGGACTGGAGTCTGGAATAGAGGGCAGACCTGGGTTCCTCCATCAGTCACTGGAGGAGTGGCAGCTGAGGCAGTGAATGGGAAGACTGCCTAGGACAGCTGAAGGCAAAACTTAGATATACCCCAGAAGGAGAAAATACCTGACCAGAGGGCTGAGTCATGAAAAGGCTGCAGCAGCTCCTGGAGGCTGCTAACCCAGAGAAAGGGGCAGAGGACTGTATGAAACCAGGGGAATGGCTGTTGACCTGATGAGCTAATTCCCAGAGTGGCTCGCACGGGAGTGCCAGGCTAGCAGTAAGTGGAGCACCCTGTCGCACTTTGCTCTTGGTTCCCCCAGTCCAATTTTTGTTAGCATTGCTAATTATCCCTTCCTCAGTCCCACTCCAGTTTGCTTCCTTAACTGCAACTCAACTCCCCATAGATTAGCTTTTGTTGGGGAAGCTCCCAAAAGTTGTGAGTCACCTGAGTTTCTTCTCTTCACCCTCAAAGGCCAGTCCTTGCGACAGCTCCTCTGTGCAAGAAGGGTTGGCAATGACATATAAGGAGCAAGCTAGTCTCATCAACAAGGACACGCAGCAACTCCTTCAAAATGCTGCCTTTGCAGCACTCTCTCAGTACAGAGCGAGATGCTCCTCTGGGCCCTCGTGCTTAGAACCTCAGGTTGACAATGTATTGCTCTGCCATCAGGCTAGCCTCGTTCCTGGTAGTTCAATAATTAAGTGCTGTCTGAGTGGTCTGTGCTGTTCAAGGCCCATCAGCAGATGTAGTCCCTGTCCCAAGGAGCTTACAGTGTTCAGAACCACAGTCATTGTACTGATTCTAATCAAAATCTCAGGGCCTCACAACTCCTTTGTGGATGGGGGTGGGGAGGGGAGATTCCAGCAGACAGCTTGGGGAGTAAGCAGGAAAGAAGCAAACTGAAGGATGGAGGTTGCTGAAAAGCTGGATCTGTGAGGGAGGAAGAAGGTTCCTGTTGGAAGATCATCTGAGGGGCTTTCCTCTGAGCACCAGAGGCTGGCTCATTCACTGACAGAAATCTGCCAATTGCTGGACCTGCTTGAGTTAGAATGGGTTAGGCTCAGGCTCATGGCACAGTGCTCAGTGCAGCAGCCTATGGGTTCCATGGAGGTCAACATTTGGCTTTGCTGCTTCCCACAAGACTGCCCTGTCTTCATCATGATAAGACACACAAGAGATCCTGGAGGGACCTGTGACTGGAAGTAGCAGTGAAGAGTGAATGAACTCATGGAGTGATTCATTCCAAAGTGTTTCAGCTGTCATGTGCATAGTAAGTGGGTTAAAACTCAAGGAAAAGTCAACAATGGAACAATCCTGCACTATCACAGGGAAGTATTTACATTGCATGCTGTGTTGTATCCATGCTTTGCTTGAGCCCAGTGCCATCTAGCCCTCCACTACAGGGAC